GTGCTGTGCTTTAACCTGCTGCGCCACCAGGGAGGGCCCAAATAAATAAATCTTTAAAAAAAAAAATTAAAAGTTACCTGAAAGTCTGTTAGTTATCTTGTATTTACCAACAGTAAATGAGATTGGTTGAAATAAAATTAATGAAAGTATAGAATTTGGCCTTCCCTGGTGGCGCAATGGGTTAGGATACAGCCCTGCAAGGTAGCGGCAACGCTTCAGTCTGGGTTCGATCCCCAGCCCTGATGATCCACATGGCGCCTCAGACCTCTCCTGACCCGCCTGCTGCTCCCCTCAGCAGTGTACTTCGTCAATATGCCTGTCCTGCTCCCCACTCTGTCTCTGGTGAGTCCTCTCTCTGGTCCTGCCCCCTGGCCTGTATCCCAGTTCGGTATGCATAAATAAATCTTATAAAAAAGTATAGAATTTGATGATCTAATGAATTAATTTGCAGAAATCAATTCCAGGATATACTATTGTTAAGGTAGCTCACTAATAACAATATCACTAGTAATTATATAAATTTATGACCCCAATGTTATTTTGTAAACTCTGTAAACTTATAGTGTTATTTGTGCTATCATTATAATCCTATTTTTATAAGTAAGACAATATTTTAAAAGAGAAATTTATATTTTATTACCAGTTCGTCACCCACTGGCTTCTGGAGGAGTAAGCGATGGTGCCGGAGCTGTGCTCAACACTCACTGCAGAGAGTGTTGGAATTTCTTAGGCTTAGTAAAAATATTCATTCTCCAGGTACACACCTCTTGAAGGCAAGATAGCAACATGAATATTGAGCCTCAGGAATACATTGTTATAAAAATGACCTTGGAATGAGAGACTAAGGGGACCATTGTCCTAATGCAGCTGGCAGTCTGTGAAGGTTCTAGAAGGGACTTTTCAGCTCAAGACCTTTGGGTGATGAGCCACAATATTCCTGAAATAATCATGAGACAGTGACTTTTTGCTCCGGGCTGGCTCTCTCTGTGCTGCAGTTAGTACATGGAACACTGTGCTGAGCACAGAATATTCCAATTATAACATTCAATTGACCATGATACAAAAACCTGAAAGGGCAAATGCAGACCCAAAGCATCACTCTAAGTAGAGAAAACTGCTTGATGAAAGATTTGAGAGTTTTATCTGATGGAGGTTGGTTGAGAGGAAGAGCTCTAGAATAGAGAAGTCTTTGAGAAACATAAAGACTCACATTTAATGTTAAACAGCAGAGTGCTGTTTAAAGACCCTTAGGTCTTTAGGGTATAGAATGTGAGTGACGGGTTGTATTTATTCCCCACAACTCCAAAGGGCCAGTGAGTACAAATCACAGGAAAGAAGATTCCACGTCTGGAAATGAGGGAGTCGTGGTTTCCAGGACTCATGTGTCCTGATTTCTTTCCTTACAAGGAACTCAGACAATACCAATATGTTAGAGCAGACAAGAAAGGGATTTTGGCAGAGGGAAATGATTCTGGAATCTGTGGGACTGAAGAATGTCACCAATATCTTGGGGAAGGCATTTTATAGAAGAGTTTGGCAGAAATGCCATGACATATGGGATTGAGCCAGGAATGACCTATGGGCAGGAGTCTAGGCCAGGAGAGAAAATTTCACTAAAGTTGAGAATCAGTCATTTATGTAAGGACATGTTGTCCCTTTGTTATTAGAAAAGCCAATTGTAAAATAAAGTTACATAGCATTACATTTTGTACATGAGTCTACTTTTTCTACTCTTCTATGAAAATTTCTACTTTCTTTCAATATTTTGTAGAATATAAGACACATAGTATGGGAATAGATTTGTTAAAGCATGTCAGACATCTCATCGCAAATCTAAACTCTTTTGAGTCCAAGTATTTCCTAGTAAAAATAAATAACCCACTGTGTTATCTCTTGACCCCTTGTCACTGAGATATGATTGTCTCATCTTTACTGAATTACTGAAGGAAGATGCCACATCTTGGTATTGACCATTCTCTGAAAACAGCAAGTTCGTGGGCAGAACCATTTAAAGGAACAGAGTCTAAGGTACCAGGCATTTGAAATATTGAGTGGTCTTCATTCTTGCTCTGGCCTCTGGCTTACATGTAGTTTTTCTTGATAGTGGAAAATGAGGGTAGTTGATTAGATGAATAGGAAGTCATTACTTTTTCTTTATTTAAATCTGAATTCTGGTGTGTTCCTGATTAAACCAATTCCAGCATTGGCTAAATACCAACAGCACCCACCTCTTTCCACGTATGCACAATGACTCAATAGTGTACAGAGACACAAACCCTGACTTTCACGGTCATACTGTGCTTTTCTGATCCTTGACCTAATTTATGAGCCCCTCACCGTCCCTGTCACCTTTCCACCAGACTCCAGCGGCTGAGCACGTGCCCACTAGATGGCAGTGCTCCCCTGCGCTGTGGGCACTGTGGGATTGGGGGGGCAGGCGGGAGTGCTCCTGTCAGTGGGTTCTG